GGCATCTAGAGAACTTGACGACTGCCAAAGCTATGGAAGAAAATAATGATGAGCAATAAAGAGAGAGAGAGAGGAACACAAAGTAAATATCAAACCGAGATAATGTAGAGAATTCCTGATCTACAAAAGTTGAACCAAAACGATGACATTCTGGCAACATATGCGAAAAAAAGAAAAAGACCCCTAAATAAATAAAAAAAAAACCCAACAAAAACATGATAATCCTTCAAAAACCAGATGAAGGAAAATGTATAATTTTTTAGAAAAAGCGAAACGTAACAGAAAAAAAGTTGCTCCGTCAGCATTTTTCTTTAGCTACTGAAACTTTGAGTGACGGTCGATCTTTTCTGTCAATCCATCAAATATTATATTTGCAAAAATAAGCATTCATTTTTTCACTAATCTGGTTGGCATAGGGGGCAGCATGGTGGAGCTGTGGGTATCACTTCTGCCTCGTAGCAAGAAAATTCTGGATTCGATTCCTTCTGATTCTTTGAGTTTGCATGTTCTACCCGTACATGCGTGGATACTCTGGCTTCCTCCCACAGTCCAAAAACACGACTTCTCAAAATTGTCCTTAGGTGTGTGTGAATGGTTGTGTGTCTCTGTGTTGCCCTGTGACAGACTGGCGACCTGTGCAGGGTGGACCCTGCATCCTATCGTGGACTACCGCAGATAGGCACCTGCCCAACCGCAATCCTAACAAGGACTAAGCCGGAGAAAATGGAATGGAATGGTTTGCATAGACGTATGACATATGCTATCTGTGAACAGATATTCATGAGAAGGATAATTGAATAACTTTTTGAATCTCTTGCCATTTTTTTCAGCAACGTGGCATTGCCTACACTACATGTTGATAGCTAAGCTTCAAACCGGATCTTATGTTACACCACTTTCTGAAGACTCTTTTTGGCCATACTGGAAATCAGTTATGGTGTGAAAAATCCCCTAGTAATTCCCTTTTATATATATTAATGTATGATTGCTGAGTTTCAGTCATTCAGGCCTCAGAGCTGCAAGGCTACAAGGTGTCTAAGGGAGAGGGGTTGTTTATGCTATTAGGGAGTGTTTGGGAGAGAAATAATTGTTCTCATAACAAGCTAGACTGTGGCCCCGTCCACACGAAGCCGAACCCTGGCCTAAACGCACAAATTTTTCACCAAACCAGCCTCTCATCCATACGAAGCCGGCGTTTCGGGGGTCTGTAAACGATCGTTTTTTTTATTCAGCCTTCAGAGTGGGAAGATTTCGAAACGCTGTTTTCGCGTTTCCATCTTCACGCTCTAACCGCATTTTTTTTTTTTTACACGCATGCGTCACAGCGTCGCCTCTAAACACGCATGCGCGACACAGTATCACAACAACAATGGCGCCGTTGCTGCTCATGCTACTCACCCTGCTGTCGGACTTACAACAGAATGTTCTTCTTCTGGAATATCTCCAGGAAGAACAGAGCAATATCGACGACATAGTTCAGCATCTGAATTTGACTTAACCACGAAAATGGACCCACAGGGCAACCATGTATAAATATTAGTGCGCATGCCCAACATTTCATCGCTTATTTTTGCTTTGGCACCACAGCGCCACTTACAGGCCTGGCATACATTTTGCAGCGTTTTCATGCATTCGTGTGGACGCTCACATTTATTTTACATCTCCGTCTTTACGGCAAACCTTTTGGAAAATATCAGCGTTTCGTGTTCGTTTTGACTTCGTGTGGACGGGGCCTGTTTCTCAGGGTTTTACTCATAAAATGTTACTGTTTGCTCTGACTTTCTGTAACTGTTTTGATAAACTGTATGTGGAGACCTTCAAAGCCAGTTCACCAGATCAGACAGTCAAATTTATTCAAAGTTTTCTGTCTAAGGAAAACCAGTTGATTGCATTGACTCAATGACTCAGATGCAATCCCTCACACTAAGCATGCTTGTAGCAATAGTGGGGAGGAAAACTCCCTTTTAACAGGAAGAAACCTCCAGCAGAACCAGGCGTAGTCTGAGCATCCATCTGCTGAGGCCGACTGGGTTTCAAGGAGATGGAAGCATACAAAGAAGTAGAGCTACAAAAGGCAACTGTCAACCAGCTCCACAGGCGGCCCCTTCCAGGAAACACACAGCGAGGCAGACAAGCTCCAAGCCAGCTCCGATGTAAGAGGATGAAGAGAGCACATCCGCAGTCACAGTCAGAGAATCAGGACTGCACTGAAAAACAGGCCGAGCTCGAACATCTACAAACTAAGGTGTTGATGGCAGCAGCACAGCCAATATTTCTCTCCAGGATGTTGTCACAGCCAAACAGGAACAGAGCAGATTAATTATATGAGAAAAAGCAGAGAGAGAATAGTGTTAGAGATTGAACTAACAAATTCTGCAGTGGGAGAATTGAGACAGAGTGAATCAGAATGATGAAATAGGGGTCCCTATGTCCTTCAGCAGTCTAAGCCTATAGCAGCTTTATTATACAGTAGAGACAAATCAGGATAACCTGAGCCACTCTAACTATAAGCTTTATCAAAAACGAAAATTTTAAGCCTACCCTTAAAAGCAGACAGGGTGTCTGCCTCATGGACTAAAACTGGTAGTTGGTTCCACAGGAGAGGAGAATGATACCTAAAAGATCTGCCTCATAAGGAACAATCATATCTCTGATAAAAGATGGAGCTTGGCCTTTAAGGCTTTATATGTAAGAATAAGGATTCTAAATTCTATTCTGGATTTAACAGGAAGCCAATGAAGAGAAGCCAGGATAGGAGGGATATTGTCTCTATCTTTCATCGGAACTCTGGCTGCAGCATTTTGGATCAGCTGAAGGCTTTTAACCAGGGTTTGTAGACTTCCTTATAGTAAAGAACTGCAATAGTTCAGCCTTGAAGTAACAAATGCATGGACTAGTTTCCCAGCATCACCCCTGGACAGGATATTTCTATTTTTGCAATATTTTGCAGACGAAATAAGGAAATTCTAGAAACCTCTTTGATATGGGATTTAAATGATAGGTCCTGATCAAAAACACCAAGATTTTTTACTTTACATTACAACATAATTTATTTGTCATTTTTTTAAGTATAGGGTGTATACAAAAATACTTTTTGTTCAGTTCAGCTCTCAAGACATTTTCATTTTTTTTAAAGTGCACCCGTGATAAAGCTAAGCAGCAGTGATGACATAAACATATGACTGTATATTAGTTGCACTTCCAACATTCAGATTGTTTCTTTTTTTAAACCCATTTTATACAACATTCAGCAGTCTAATGTCAGTGGGGAAGAAACTGTTCTGGAATCTGCTGGACCTGCAGCGGATGCCTCGAAGCCTCTTCCCAGAAAGCAGCAGGGAGAACAGTCCATGGTGGGGGTTTGAGGGGTCATTTATGATGTTACAGGCTCAGGACACACAGCGCTGGGATCAAATGTCTTTAATGGAGGGAAGGGATTATCTGAGATCAATTTAATCCCTTCCAAATTAAGTGACTGACTAATCAGCTTCTTTTTTAAAGACTTTGGTCCAAAGTCTGTAACTTCTGTTTTGTCTGCATTAAGGAGCAGAAAGTTACGAGTCATCTGGGTTTTTATGTCTACAAGACATGCCTGTAATCTATGTAATTGGTTAGCTTCATCCTGATTTAGAGACATATATAGCTGTATATCATCAGCAAAACAATTCCACAGTTTAAAATATGTGACAGAAATACACTAATGTTTTAACGTTAACAGACCAAACCTGAGTGTAAAATCCAACCAGTGTCTGCAGTCCTGCTTTCCTAATTCAAATAGGTTCTGTAATTCTGTAAGTCTAATTCTATCTTTCATAAACCAAACAAAACATAAAATCTGTTGTATGTTCTTCACACCCTACTTTATTTATTATTCCTAAAGATCTTTTTAACAAAAAACAGTGGTATAATATTTATTTTATAAGTATTGTCCTACAAAACCAAACAATACATGAAATATGGTAAAACAAGTAGATTATACAGCATTATCAACGATTTGTTTCCGAAATGTCCTTTACCTTATTCAAAATAAAAAAAAGAAAATGTATCTACCTTAGATTTAAAGGTATAGTGGAGGATTTTCGAGAATAAAAAAAAAACTGCCCTCTACACTTGCACATGCACAACCCTGCACCCGCTCTGGAGAGGGAATGCATTAAACGCTATTAAAAGCATTCAATAGCTCATTTCTCCTGATGCACGCTGTGTTTAAAAGTTGCTATTCTCATAGTTCATACAAGCTTACTCTGCCGAAACCCTAACCTCTAAATCCCTAAATCAGTATATAGAGTGGGGTCTATATAGTGGACTTTATAGCAAACTCAGTTAACTGAACGTTCGGACAGATAATCACTGCTTTTTGCTCCATTGGTCACGTAACTCCTTCTCCACTGCCTGCGCCACCTTTGTTATTAGTCACTTTAGTCGGTTAGCAACAGCCTATGGCGACAGCGGGCCGCTGTCAGGAAATCCCATTATACTTTGTGAGGAGAGCTCTCTGCACAAAGCATTCTGGGATATATATCTGCTTCTTCTATGGCCTTTCTTTTCTTCTCATTCACTTTGTAGATACTTTTTCTCTCTACTACCATCGGCCATTTTCAAAGAACCGTGGTAAGAAAGGTGACCTTCAATGACTGCCTTAACCGTAGCTCACCACAAATATACGCCTCAAAATGCGCATGCACAGAAAAATATATGGGATGAGCCCATAGGACGACCTTATGTAAACATATCACCAGAATGATTAACAATTAGGAGGACCACTTGTTTAGATGATTCACCCGGAAATAAAAGATTGTCCTCTATACCTTTAAGGTACACAATGTGATTTGTCCAGCTTTAAAAGCACAAAATTCATAGGAGGTACTATTTATTATCATGTTTTACACAAAGCTGTAACTCAGAGAATAGTTTTGTACAGTATGTGATAGTGGTATGTTTGAACAATAATAAACCCTGAAGGATCCTGACCTCTTGTAATCTAATCCCCACTGTCAATGCTGTTATCACTGCCCACAGATACAAATATGGTTGTAAAAGCAAAGTTAGACATGTTAAATATTCACTAGTTACACTGGAAAATGTGCATGCAGAAAGAAAAGGAGCAAAAACCAAGTGGGGAATTCAACTAAAAAGGTAAACCCTTTGTTTTCTAGCACTATGCCATGGATTCCTTCTTACTGAAGTGAACATGCATTTGGCAAATATTGCTTTTCTATACACTGATTTTAATGCATCTAGCAATAGTTTTACAAAAAAGAAAAAAATGTAATCAGGATTTAATTTTTTATCTTGTAGATGTTTTCTCGACCAGAACTGTTTGATTTCCATGGAGTCGCAATGACTCCCTGTGTCACTAACAACTGGGAAAAGGTTCGAAGCTTTCAAGCCCGACCGGACGATATACTTATTGCAACATACCCGAAAGCAGGTCAGTCTAGCAGCATGTGTAAACAGGTTTTACCGTTTGTGGTGCATTAATAATAAGGACAGGTTCCTTTTCACCTTGCTGCCTCTTTAGGAACTACGTGGGTCTCCTACATCCTTGACCTGCTTTATTTTAGGCACTTATCTTCAGAGCGCCAGACATCCATCCCCATCCATGAAAGGGTACCATTTCTGGAGATAGCAGTCACTCCTGGTGCTTCAGGTTGACAACCATCTGTTACTATATTTTGTTAAATATACAAATTCTCATTAAATTGGCTCAATTATCTGCTGCCTTTCTTTGTCTGTCCACAGGAACTGAGCTGGCAGACAAGCTCCCCACTTCCCCTAGACTGATTAAGACTCATCTGCCTGTTCAGTTGGTTCCTAAGTCCTTTTGGGAGGAAAACTGTCGGGTAAAGTTGTAAAATCGTCTTTTACACATATTCTAAAGTATCAAGAGGGGCTTTAGATTTTGCTGCAGTTGTTAAAAGTTTTGGTTTAAACCTAACTTCAGATAAACATCACAAGACTTTGTTAATGAAAAATACTTTCCAGTCGTACCAACTCAGTTGGAAAACAGTCATCTTACCTATTTTCTCTTTGAAATAGTTGAAAACACTGACTGGAAATATTGATGTATTTCATGGATTTAAGAGAAACTATGTAAGTTTTCTTTATTTTCATCTCTCTATTTATTCCTGTGAGGAAGAGGAGAAGGAAATATAAAGATAGATAGATAGATAGATAGATAGATAGATAGATAGATAGATAGATAGATAGATAGATAGATAGATAGATAGATAGATAGATAGATAGATAGATAGATAGATAGATAGATAGATAGATAGATAGATAGCTGTCATAGTCCCCTTTTTTATCTTAATATCCTTTAATTGTCCAAGAGCACTAAGTTTACATCACAAAAATCCAATGTGGCGTTCCCCATGGGTCTGCTTTAGGGATCCCTCAATTCAATATCTACATGTTCTCCATAACTCATCCATCTATCTTCTCTGTCATTCCGGCAGACAAACAAACCTCAGTTTGTGAAACTGAAAGGTAATTTCTCTAATAAGGTGGTCAGCAGCACAGGAGCCCAAAGACTTCCTGTCCTGTGTGGAGTCATCTGGGGGAAAATCTTGTTGGAGGGTTCGGAGGAGGAAAGACTCGCCATGTTTTCAGGGACTGTTTCCAAGCGATCTTTTGATTTAACATAGAAGGAGAAAGAAGGAAAAGGAAGATAGACTGGGCGTAATGTGGAAGGGTGTGAAAAGACGAGGGATGAAGTGCATGAAGCCTAGAGAGAAATTCCACTGAATAACTGGATCGGTTATTGTCGTGCAATTAGAGGCTCAACCATCTGTGATGCAGCTAATTAGCATTCAACCACACCTGCTCATAATCCAATCAGCATCAGTCCTGCTTAAAAGACTTCAATCAACAGCTCAACCTGCCACCAATAAGCATCTGAGTTGAATCGCATGTCAGACTCCATGTCATCCCTCCTCCATCACCTTCTCCACCTTCCTTGTGTGCTCCTCTGGCTCCTCCTCCTTGCTACTGCTTTCCCCCATTTAAAGTAATTCCCAGTACCTGTACTGCTTTCACAAGGCATCCCAACCAGTCCACCAGAAGACCACCATGTTGAGCCTGGGTTTGCCAGAGATTTCTTCCTAATGGGAGTTTTTTCTCACCACTGTCACTTTATGCTTGCTCATCATCCAACCTGTTTCAGTAAAACTTCTAATCACCTTTCTATTTTTTCTGACTTTTTTCAGGTTGAATTCCGTGCAGAGGGAAACGGGTTGACTTCTTTGGGATCATAATAGATATTTTTATGATTTTTATTGGATTTTTTATTGAAACTAATCACATGTCAAAAATGGCCTGCTGATAATGGCCTATAAAGATTTGTGGCAGTTCTTCATTGCTCCATCATCACACCGCTTTAGTTTCCAATTTACACTGAAAGAAGGAGGCCAGCAATATACCATGCTCCTCCAGCTCCTTCTTAGGTTTAAACATTAAAATTTAAAGAACATATTTCCTAATTTTATTTTGGGCAACTAAATAAAAGGATTTTAAAAAAATTTCACATGATCTTATATAAAAAAGGCAAACAATTTATTTTGGATAATGACCCATAAAGAGAAAATAAAGCACTTAAGAGCTCAAAATGTCCCTCCTGTATGCTTTAATGTTAACTTTGCCTCTTAAACACCAAAAACTGTAACCTTTTGTTGTTTATTATTAGTGATGCGCCGATGCCATTTTTTGGTCCCAATAACGATAACCTGGCTATGCAGTATTGGCCGAAACCGATACTATACTGATACCCAGTCGTCAAGTTGTTAAAAAAAAGAAGGGGAGTGGTGGATTATTTTTTATTTTTTTAAGCCTACATAGCCTAACTATTATAGTCTTTTAATCTGAAGCAACATGCATGGTATGTTTGTTACACGTCAGGTGTTGTTTCAAGAAAGTCATGGGACCAACACAGGATTTGTTTCTAACTGACTGACACACTAAACTGTGTCTAAAAATGTATCTGTCAACATGATGCATCTGCTAAAAAAAAAATGTCTAATCTTTTGCGGTTTATCATTAAAATTATCAATAATTTCGAAGCAGCATAAAAGGAATAGGAGTGTTGCGTTTTTATTTTAATTTTCTCGTTGTGTCACCCTTTTCCTCTGAGTTATCGCTCAACTTATCTGAATAAAAGTTAATTTCAAATGAACTTATTGATCATTTACAGTTTTTTCTGTACTTATTGTTTTAAGAATATGTTTAAAATCCTAGTCACAAGCATCCTAATTCACATTTTCCCCTGAATTTTAACATAATATGTTTACATTATTTATTGGCTGCATCAAAAAATATAAAAGATCATTTCAATTTTAAAAATAGATATGAAATAATACAATATAACCTACAATAATTTCTATTATATCATTGTACTAGGTGATCAAATTAATTCAGTTTAGTCTGTCAAATCAGCTGCCTGCAGTGTCTTTAAATGTCCAGCAGGTGTCAGTATTCTGTGAGGTAGTTTTAACGCTGAATCAATACAGTTTGGCAATGTTGGCTTTCTTAATAATGAAGTTCCTCAAATCGCGTGTCTTTGCCACTTGGCCATGATGCAGCTCAGAACACCGTCACTTGCTCCGCTGGTTGTGCCACTGAGGTCGAAAATGAAATCGGGTGTGCCATCTGGGCCACTATAATTTGGTCAGGCTACTTGTAAGCGTACAGCCTGCTAAATGTTGAAAGGGCAATAATATTGCCATTACTGTTAATATATAATAAAAAATGTACACATTCAGTGATAATATGTTACAGGGGATGGTATGGGGGAGTGGTTATTTAAGAAGGTGAATGATTTTTTTTACAAATGGGGATGCCATCCCCCCTCAACTCGAGTACTGCCGATACCATCTGTTTAAAACTGATGTGTGTGTGTATATATGGAGAACTGCATACTACTTGGATGTAAAATAATTACCATCATGGCTTTGTCAAGCTGCTGCCTACCTTTGTGAAGCAGGAAATAGACTAATACAAAGTGACTCCAGTAGAACTTTTTATTGCCTACCTGGAATGGGTGACAATAGTAGAATAAACTTTTGGCTCTCAAAATGGTATCAGTAGCCTATTTGTTGGTACTCGCCAATACCGATACCAACATTTTTGTGCTGGATCAGGGCCCGGCTCGATACTGGTATCGGTATCGGTGCAACACTATTTATTATGTAGAAGGTTGTAGCATGATTGTCTGATTTCATGTAAAAGTTACTGTGCAGTTGAGTTTTTTCTTCTTTTGTTAGATTGTATATGTTGCACGCAACGCGAAGGACAACATGGTGTCTTTTTACCACTTTGACCGCATGAATCAAGTGCAGCCAGAGCCTGGGGAATGGAGCAGCTATTTCCAGAGGTTCCTGGATGGACAGAGTAAATCGAAAATGTGTATAAAATATTTTTTTTTTTGTAATCTTTTCCTTTGGTGGTGTTGATTTTTCTTTTTCTGGGTTGTTTTGTATCTTAGTGTTGTACGGTTCCTGGTATGACCATGTGGGAAACTGGTGGAACAAGAAGAAGAGCTATCCAAAACTTCATTACATGTTCTACGAAGATATAGCTGAGGTAATTTATCTGACTGCCTGTGTTTGTTTTTTTTTTTTTTTTTTTTTTGACTGATTTGGTCAAAATGTGATATATGACTGTGTGTTTCTAGGACACTGAGGCGGAATTAGACAAACTTTGCTCCTTCCTCGGTTTATCCCCATCCGCTGAAGAGAAACAGGCCATTCTAGAGCTAGTCCACTTTGATAACATGAAAAACAATGAAATGACAAACTGCTCCAAACTTAATTTCTAAGGGAAGGTGTTTGGAAGAAATAAGTAAATAGCTTATTTGGGGGTTTTTTCCAGGAAAAGTTGGTGACTGGAAAAACCACTTTACTGTGGCCCAGAATGAAGTGTTTGAAGAGGACTACAAAAACTAGATGAACGATCCTACGCTTCAGTTTCGGACTGAGATCTGAGCTGGCCTTTGGTACATCTAAGATAATCTCATAATTAGATCATTTATGAAATTCAGAGACATGAAATCTCAAATGTAAAAGTAGCTATGTGAACCATTTCAAACATAACGTTGACTTTTTTCTAAATAACTTCATTTATCTTCTTATAAGAAGCTCCGAAAATAAAAACATTTTCTTCACTGCAAAAATGATCTAGAAAGAAGTCAACATTTCTTAGATTAAGTGTATTTAACCTTAATTTGAGCACGTAAATAAGATACTAAGATGCCAATGGAATGAGTATTTCTACGCTTAAAATAAGATGATTAGATAATATGCACTGAAAATAAGACAATGCAATTGTTTTTTCCCATTTTAAATGTAAATTGTCTTGTTCCATTGGCAGTGTCTCACTTACCTCCTCAATTCAAGAAAAAATTCACTTATTTTAAGAAAATATGACTTATCTAGATTTTGATTTTTTTCCAGTGTTTTTTCTGGAGTTTCATGTTTCCATCAATAAAAAAAGGCACATATAAGAATAATCTGAGTTGTCTTTTTTTTTTTTTTTTTTTTTCCGCAATTAACTATTTCTTAAAGATGGAAATTGATTAACTTCAAAATTCTTGGGCTATTTTATTTTTTTTAAACCTCAGTTAAATTAACCTCCATTAATAGCCGGTGTGGATCTATAAAACAGGCTGCCACCCAGATGACTGAGAACTTACACAGGCAACTGTTGTGGATAAGCAGACTATTTTGTTTTCCAATAAATCATAATGGTTTCTTTTCATTTCAAAAAATTGGAAAATGTTAAAAGTTGAGCACTATTATTTCATAATCAAGCTGTTACTGAACACCATGAAGATGAGCCAGTTAAACCCTGTACAGTTTTATAGGTTTAAACATAGTGTCAAAAAAAAAACCCACAGCAGATTCCACTCTGATTATATTTTCAAAATAAAAGCTCAAAAGAAAAGGTGACGGTGGAAAACCTGAGTTCAACTGGACTGCAAAGCCACACAAGCTTTCACATAAACACACTTAAACCAAAGGGCAATTAAGTGACACAATTAAACCTATTGGTTAATGTTATGTCCCCTGGCTTGGTCTGGAGAGTATAAAGGAGGAACTTAAGTCTAGACATTGGAGAAGGAGAACATATGGCACTCAAGATGTCTATTTTCTGTAATATTTCTTTCAGGTGAGTTTTTTTCCTGCATAGACCTATAAAGAAGCTTCAGGGAGAGCATAGGCAAACATAACAAACAAAAACTTCTTAAAGAAAAAGAAAGGAAAAACTTAATACGATAAAAAAAATCTCAATATCCAACCTTAAGAAATAGCCTACCTAACAAACACATAAACAGCTTCCAACTGGGGTTAAACAAAATGGCAACCCACCCGTTCCAAAGCAGTTTGACAAAGTTCACATCACATGTAGCACAGTTAGGCATTTACCGTAAGCCTGCACCACAATCAGTAGTGTACAGTCGTCAAGTGGTTATAATAGTGTGCAGGTAAACCCTGATTGGCTGAAGACCCAGGAAGCAGCACCCCAATCTTGCAGTTGGGGCCTAGAAGATAGCAAGGGATTTCTTTAATGTTGAAAAAAAATAAACATCCATTCGGGATGTAATAATATGCTTTTGGACTTTGGGAGGGAGCCGGAGCACCAGGAGAGAACCATGTCTGCACAGAGATGTCAATCAAAGAATCTGCCTTACAGATTCCCTGACTGTTCATTTTAAGCTAAGCCCTCATTATTACGCTTTAACTGTTGATTTATTTGATTCAGTTTATTGATATAGCGCCAATTCACAACACGTGTCATCTCAAGGCACTTTACAGAGACAATTCAACCAGATCATACAGTCAGATTGATTCTAAGTTTTCTAAGGAATACCAGCTGATTTTATCGACTCATTGACTAGAAGGCAAACCCTCACACAGCTGGAGAACAAATGTTTTCAGCTACCAGCTTTATTTACAGAGGATACATTTGAACCTATTTTGTGTATATCTCAGGTGAAAAAAATTAGAAATATTTTATAAAAGTTACATCTGCCTTTCTTTCTTTCGAGACTTTTCTGCACAAAAAGTTCTTGAGGAAAATGAGGGACGCTATGATCTATCAATTTGAAAATCTGAGTCAATGATTTAACTCTTACATTACCAAACCAACGAAAGATGCCATTCCTTCAAACATATTATTGGCAGCAACATGTGAAAATACAAGACACACGAGAATCAAACCACAAACTCTTTGTACTTTTGTTTGACAGCTGAGGCTTTACTTGAAGTTCACCTGCTGGAGCTTGTCTGCCTGGCTGTGTGTTTCCTGGACAGGGCCACCTGTGGAGCTGGTTGACAGTTGCCTTTTGTATCTGTGCTTCTTTTTCTATGTCTGCTTCTGCCTCCTTGAACCCCAGTTGGCCTCTGCAGATGGCCGCTCACACAGAGCCTGGTTCTACTGGAGGTTTCCTCCTGTTAAAAGGGAGTTTTGCGTTTGAGTCAAAGAGTTGATGCAATCAACTGGTTTTCCTTAGATAGAAAATTTTTGATTAATCTGACAAGATGATCTGGTGAACTGTAAAGTGCCTTGAGATGAGGTGTTGTGAATTGGCGCAATATAAAATAACTGAAATGAATTGAATTGAATTGGATGCTGTGTTCATGATCCGCTATCAGGAGATAACCCCAACTAACCCGGGATGCACCAGAATCCCTACTGTCTTTTTCATAATAATTTGAAGTTTACTAACCTGGCATACACCTAAATGATACATGTAGTTCAGTTTTAATTCTACACGGTTTTAATCTAGAAAGCCTTCTGTAGAAAGTGTTTCCTAAAGAGAGGGACATTCAAATGGTAAACAGCCTGTACTTACATACCGCTTTTTCAAGTCAGAGGACTTGATAAAAGAGTTTAACACTACATTCAGTCATTCACGCACACACTCACACACTGATGGTGGTAAGCTACATTGTAGCCACAGCTGCCCTGGGGCTCAGTGACAGAAGCAAGGCCCTGTGAACACCATTAGTAGGCAATGCCTCTAAAAAGCTGGAGCTGGGGATTAAACCGACAACCCTCCGGTTATGTGGCAAACTCCTCCATCCCACGCCACTGTCATTCAGTAACATTTTCTAAGCTGATTGTTTCTGCCTCCCGGGTTTTAGCCAATCCCAGCAGCAGTAGAGGCTGTGACGTATCACATTCTTGATCTTTTTCACAACTGCCAGAGTTAACTAGTGAATCAAACTCTTACCAAATCCGGTCAAGAGGAACCTGCAAACACCTTCCCCATCTCCAAAGGTAAGAATTGGTTTCAAGAAGAAGTAGAAGGTATTCCAGCTGAAAACCGCTCAACCATGTATGTTTTGCCTTAGCTTTCCAGCTCTGGTTGACGTGTTGATATCAAACTCGATTTCACTTCATTTAATTGGTCCGAAATATTTCTGTATAAAGGCTAACATGACTGTTGGCTTCTGGCAAGATGTATCTTTGAGAATTTTCACAAATATTTGGACAATTCATTTAGCTTGCAAGGTGAGAAAAATGCAACTTGAAGTCGTAGGGAAGCAGCCATTCCAACCGTTGCATTTCCAAATTCTCCTGAGTAGCATCCGACTTTACACGAGTGAATAAAGTGAATGTGATTGGTCGATTATCAAGAGGGCGGGATTGTTGAGGTGGAAGGTTGGCAAGCAAGTTTGGTTGTGGCTGTTGTCTTAGAAGCACCTTAATGCTAGTAGGCTCCCAATGGGAAAATCCATTGGGACCAAGTAGCACTAAATTGGTGACTTGAAAAGACACTGTCAAGGAACGCTATGGACAGTGTAAACATGCAGAAGGAGGAGAGTTTGTGTTGGAGGTCTTGGATGAGTCTCCTCCATCATACATTTTTTTATTAAGAGGAGGAAAGCGGGGACGAAGTTGTTGTGGAAGAGGACGCCAGGGCGGCAGAAGCTTGGTTTGGTGTAGAAGGCTTACAGCCGTACATGTTTGAGCCCTTGCCTCAACCATTGCAACATATGAATCAAGATGCTATGACCGAAACAATTTGATTGACAGATGATCATATGTATATGATTGGCCGAATTTAGGTGTACAAGCTGACGTATGATTAACTGGCCTGCATAATATAACAGAAAAAAACACAGATTTTAAATTTTGGGACAATACAGTCTAATAAAGAGTACATTTATGAGTTTCCCATGACTTTAATGTGAAAAACTATAAAACTGAAAGGTTAACTTTCTATACTCTAAGAGTATACAAGAGTAATGAATGCAGACCTATTTGTGGGATGTTTTGCTTTTTGCTCTTTAATGGGGTATCAGGATCAGAGAAAATGTCAACCCAGCGTTCTGCCTGCAGCCTACCTGATCAAAGCAGTTAATCCCCATTCATAATAACATTGTGAACAGTGTCCACCTCTGATCAACACATGACAGAAGGTCTGTCATCTGATCAGTTGAATAAAACAAAAAGCCTGTCGAATCCACATACAGCAGGAGAGGATGCTGTTTTTAATCTGCAACAACACAAAGATCACGGGTTACTTTAAAAAAAAAAAGAATTAAGCATGTATCTTAATAAGATGGTGGAAGATCTAATGAAAAGACATAAAAAAGAGCTAAATGATTTATGCAGATGATTCTCTAGTGTATGCATCAGACTTTTCCTCTGAAAACTAATAAAACAGCAACTGCTGGCTGTGAATGAATAACTAAATATAACAAACCGATGCTTTAATTAAAATCTAAAAGCATCATTATAGAATAAAATTACCAGTTGATGAAAAAGTCTAAATTAGACTGATTGTTAAAGATGAACCAGTAAGAGAAG